AAAGTATCCGGCGGCTGGCGGAATCAGCCACCTAAAGTATCCGGCGGCTGGCGGAATCTGACTTAGGCCCCGAACTTCAGGGTCTATAAAATATTTGCATTCTGTGTTCACTCTCCTCTCTTCAATCATTCCAAGGTTGAAGCTTCCAAGTTCGCCGCGCAAGAGGCCTCCAAAGTGTTAGAGAACAAAGACCCGGTCTCCGTGATCTTGGGCAGATCTCAGGCGAGCAACTTCGTGTTCTAGGTTTTGCAGAACTTGCGGATTTGATCAGTTGAGAGCTTTCAAAATTATTGCAGTACTGACAAGCTTCTTCTTCGAGGAAATTCACCTCCCGGAGCCAGTGGACTTAGTAGTTCATGAGATATTGGGTGAAATTGCCAGCCGTGAAGGCAGGAAATCTTTGGACCTCCAGCCATGTACTCTCTTGTGCTATGTGAAGAGAAGCCATGCAATGCCAAGCTCACCTGCAGGTGTAGTGACATCTCTTTTGGATGCCGAGCGCTTTGTGCCCCCAGCAGCTAAGTTGCAGTGCTGGTCTGTGCCCTCTGGGGCACAGACCATGATAGCACCGGCAGAAATGCCAACACCAAGGCGCGGGGCTTTTCAGCTTTTCAGTAAAGCCTTAGTTTCCCTAAACATCTACTGATTTGGTTCCCTTCTTCAAGGAAGCTCCTCCCCGCCCTCAGGCGGGGGGAGCTTCCTTGAAGACTCGTAAGCTGTCCTGTGTCCTAGCTAGGAGCTTCCTATTGCTAGGAGCTTACTACTCCCTTACTTAATGAATCTTAATGAAGTAGGAGCGGGCTTAAACAATTAAGCTTTTCAACACCCTTTTATCTTGTGCAGTCTTGACAGCAAGTCTTCAAGTCTTCTGACCTCTTGTAAGATTAAGCGCTGTTCTGCTACTCGAAGCGGAGCCAGTCCTAGGTACTTTGAGAATTTCAGGGCTCGCACTGGTACCTTTTTGGCCATGCCAGCGGCCGGCACTCGGATGCTCAGATTTCCCAACTTGCCAGTGCCATGGTGCAAATAGTGTCATGATGAACCAAAGCTTAAGCCTGTCACGTTCATGGTCTGGTTCATGTCGTCTCGACGCGTCTCTGACCTTGTTTTGACCGTCGTCTCAGGTTTCGGAAAGCATTTTGGCGGAGCCCCAGATCTTTGAGGATTTGAAGTGGGGCAAGGCGTTGAGCGTCGGTGCCGTTCCGGTTTGGCAGGGTTGAAATGGTTTTACTGTACTTTCCATGGTCTTTATTAACAAGGTCTGTGTATTGAAGGAGATGACCAGATGATCAGACATGGCTTTTGGCAGGCGTGCAGCATGAAAATCCATCAAAGACGACTGACCCGCTTCCGTGTGACTCGAGAAGGTTCGAGTGCAGATTTGCTGACTGTGAAAACGAGCAAAGTAGGACCATTGAGGATCATCGGCAAGTGAAACGGTTTGACATTGCGCCTCCATCAGTCCATGTCCCTGTTCAACCTCAGAGTGCTAAGGTCTTCTCTCTGGGTTTGTCTTTTTTATCATGGTGCACTTCCCTGTGGATATAGCACCCGTGAGTTCAGCAGATGAGGAGAGCCATTGGGCTAACAGCTTTTGCACAGCAACTTGGCAATGAGGGCAGGCTTTTTTCCCCGTCCAAAGCTACAGTATAAGGCGCAATCGGCATAGTCTTGTCTCTGCGTGTCACCTCGTGCTTCTCCTTCTTGCTTCATCTCAGGTTGATCGACCTGTCACAGTGACACCTGGGGATTTCTTGGAGGTGGAGAGCGAGGCACTCTTTGGGTGCAAGAAAGATTATTTGTGGCATCTTATCTGATCAAGGTTGAGTCGGGTGGTGAAAAGAACCAGAATGTGATTTGGTAGCAGTTCTTCTTCCAGCCCACCTGGTGTCACAGTGCCTCAACACATGTCACTGCATAACTTTCATCCTTTCATTTCTTCGTCTGTTAACCTTGCTGCATTGGTTATTCTTGTCTTCTGTTTTGCTTCCATTCTTTCAGACTCGCAGGTTGACCTCAGCAGCGACACACCAACCTATGTCCTGGCTGCAAAGCTACGCCGAATGGGAGGAGCTTGCCACGCCACAAGCAGTGTTTGTTGGTCTGATGTTGAAGACTATGATCCCAACACCTACTGTAAGTCAGAGCTCAAAGCCAGGCGAAGTGGAGAACTTGATGCAACGCTATGTCTTTCATTGAGCTGTGGTCGAAGATGTGTTGTGCGGTACCTTAGTTGATGTTTTTGGCCAACCACAAGCTTGGACCTGCAAGGGAAAACAATGCAAAACATTCTTGCTCTTGTAGCTGTTGAACCGCACAAGTGGCGAGCCGTAGCAATCCATCTTAGGCATGCTGGAGAGCAAGTTGAATGTCCAGCACAAGGTCTACAGTAGGTCTTTTGTGTGGACAAGGCGCAGCAGATTGAACCGAAGAAACGCTTCCTCAACAAACCACTTCTGAACTGAGGGTCCAACTGGGATCCGATTTGGGAGTTGGAGGATCCAAGAACCACTGCAATTGCTCCCTTTGATGGTGGAGGGTCAATTCTGGTAGAGAGGTTCCATGTATGCTCACTTCACATTTTGACAGTCCTCGATGATCTTCCGATCTTTTCCTAGTGAAACGGATGCGCCTCGCTCCCTTTCTCCTGTCCATAGTGTTCTCAAATTGCCTTTTGGTTTAGACGGTTGCCGGTGGTTCCACGATCGGGTCCCCCTACATTCACCACGGTGCACCTCACTACCCATCTCCACCTACGCCACCAAACATTCACCCTTCATCTCAACGATGAGCTTCATGGTGATCTTGCCATGGTGCCCTGAGCTTCCCACCACTTGTGTTGGGATCAAGAGATATGATCAAACACATGACATAGTGTTTTTTCCTTTGTCCATTATTCTAGGTTGTCTGAACAGAAGTCTGGGTATTTCTTGATACCAACATATTTCCTATCTTGGAGGTCTCAATCGTACAAGTGCCAGTTTTGTTCCACCCTTTGCCGGGCGGCCCTGAACTTCCCTCGCTGTTCTGGATTTGTCTCATCATGTCTGATCCGGTCTTCTCGCAATCACCTGGAGGTCAGTCAGACGACTTGGATCATTGCTATCCAGAAGATTTATATCCAAAATGATCTGCCTTGGCCCGTGTTGTCATGCGAGCGTGGGGTGCTTGCAATCCTTTGCTGCCGAGATCCCGGAGTTCCGACAGGACCTTCTCTTGCACCGACAGCAGCTGCCTCGCTCAGGCCGAGGGTCGCCAGAGGTGGACGTGACCTGGATGAGGTCCTCTTTGGATCGCCCAATCACTGTCCAGAGTGTAAGATTTTTCTAAAGTTACGAGGAGTTGGCTTTTTTGGCGTTTGGAGACCTTGTTTTCGTTGCCGACAGCTACGCAGCTACATCATTTCCGAAAACTGGGAAGGCTCGGGCCAGGTTTTTCAGGCTCGTGGAGACTGACTGAGAGAGAGATGCAAGAGAAGAGTCCGAGTGGTAACGCCAGACATCATCATCTTCTGCCGCTAGTGGTGAGGATTTTGGAGAACGTCCAGAGACGATGCTTGCTGGAAGCAGGTCATCAATGATCGCAACCTCAGAAAAAGAAGCAAAATGCAGAGATCCAGGCAGAGCTTCAGAAAGAATTGGACGAATTGAAGCAAGGTGCATGTGCATTAGACTTGGAAGGGGAAATGAACCGCCGCCTCTTGCGGTAGTCCCTTGCTTATGGGTCGCTCGAAAGGCCTTATATACGCTGAGAGCTTAGGATGCAGCGTGTCCAAAGGAATGATTCTTGTGAGCATCACCAGCGAGTATGAGGACCACACCCTCTATATAGTGTTTCAGATACTCCATGAACCAACAGCGTCCGGCTGGATGAAAGCTTCAGAGACCAGACACGACTGTCAACACGTTGCACTGGAAAGAATGGGATTGCACTTTGTGGCAGTCCAGCTGAACAATGGCTGGTGCCTGGCATTCTTGGACCAGACAAACATCTTGGCCAAAGAACGATTTGGAAAGGCAATCCTCTTGCAAGGGTGTCGTATTTGATCAGGGATGTCCTTGGTTCCTGCCAATGTGGGGAAGTTCTGAGGACCGCAAGGCAGCTCTTACTGTGTCCTGCCAAAACGCGTAGATCAGAAAGAGCTACCACAGAAAATGCACAAGGGATGAAGCTGCATTTGCCATGATCGATGGTGAAGAGGCACAGCTGTTTACAGAGAAAAGCGGTTGCTGCTTGGGCAGCCTTACCTTAGGGTGGCTTCGACACCCCAGCAATTCAGGATTTTCCCCAACGGAGGGTTGGGATGATCCAACCTTGAGTGGGAAGAATCAGAAAAGACTCAGGCTGGACAATTCTAGTAGCGTTCTTGCTCCTAGTAAGTAGCGATGCCAGGAGCCCCTAGTAGCGTTCTTGCTCCTACATGTATGTTGGTTTTAGGTAGAGTGTCGGATCTCCTTTTGTTCCACTATTCTGCTCCCCTTCAACGCTCTTTCTGACAGGATTCATGCTGCAAGTGGAAGAAGGAATGGTGGAATGATCGGAGTCCCCAACGGTCGCGACAGTGCAGCAGTGACGCCGTCCAAAAAGGCGACCAATGGGTCCAAACGCATGAACACATCCACGCCAGCTTTCAATGCCTCCAGTGAAAGCAACAACAAGGGGCCACGACAAGAACGGCGCCACTCAAAAGACTTGCGTTGAGTACTCAATTGGGTAAGCAAGGAGATGACGTGCCTAGAAGTCTTAGAGGTTTTCAGGTGGATCAAGTTGATTCAAATTTGGGAGTGGTAAGGAAACGTTTCCCTTCTGAGCATGCCTTGCGCTGTTCACCAGTTCGCTTCAGCATTCTGGCTCGGGATGGGTGCTTTTCAGGGAGCAGCCGTTCGGGCTGAGGCAATTCAAACACATTGTGTTGCGCAGACAGTGAGTTTGCTGACCTTCGCACAATGACTTATGTCATTCGGGAATATTTTATTGTCAAGTTGGCGAGAAACTTTTGTTGCCGGCTACTTCAAGAATTACTGTAAATGAAGGCCAGATGTAGCGTCATCGTCAAACGGGGAAGCACACAATGCGCGTTATTTCACTACGGCCAAATTCTGTTGGTGGGACGGAATCGTTTTTACATCTCCCCTTTGCTTCAAGGCTCCCAGATGAGCGCAGCAAACTCAGGCTTTATTGCTACTGTGGCTATGGTTGTAGATCCTGCAATTTCATTGAGTCATTGGCCAACAAAGAGGCCTCAACTCTGAACTTTTAGGGAACTCCGCGGCTGCGGAACATGCGATAAGTGTCAGCCGATTAGGATATACAAAAGCACCGCTTGCCTTTGAACATGCAAGGTCGCGGGTGGAGTGGACTCTTCCCTCTACCCGGTGGCTGTCCTCATTGATGAGCTCAGGCGGGAGCAGAGTTTGGGTGACTGAAGAAACAGATTGCCACTGTGGCAAAATGTTTGGTGTCTTCCAACTGATTCGTAATAGGTGTGGCAGGAAATCGAGGAGTTGTTTTGCAGCACCGGTTTGGTTGGACTCTTTGCTGTTTCTGGAATGATGTAGGCATGATGAACTGCAACTGCGGGTGAATGCGGTGAAGCAGTTGGGGACCATCGCCACAGCTCTTGGACCAGAGAGGCCTTGAGGGATGCGGGAAGTTCATCCTAAAAAGCCGCTTCATGCGCCGGTATGATGCGATGTACAGATACCCGCAGTCCATATTTTTCACTGTAGATGGGCATCTGAATGTTTGCAGTCTTGAGCCTTCGTGGCAGATTGCACTTCCAAGCCGGTGCGATGGCAGGACCAGAGAGGAGCTCTTGCCCTTCCTCCAGGTCCGAGAAGAAAGGTATGGAGTTCCAACCTACTAGCGACAGCCTCCAACCTAATAGCGATGGCCCCCAACCTATAGTAGCGATGGCCTCCTACTTCATTTGTCTTTTTCCATCTCAGTCCTTTTCTGATGACGATGTTGAGTAGTACAATTGGTGGACTGGAGTTGTCATGGCAGTAATATAAAAAATGACAAAATGTACATACTGCATCATACATGATCCATCCCTCCCTCCCTCCCTCCCTCCCTCCCTCCCTCCGTGCGTCCCTCAGCAGGAGATCATGGACGATGATGATGATGCTGCTGGACTGAAATCTATTTGGTAGAAGGGTATTAAAGGACATCTCCTAAATGTGCTTGCGAGCTCTGAATTAATAAGGGCTGTTGAACGACTCTTTTGTACATTTCCCCTGGTTGTGGATGCTTTTGCTTTCCTTAGTTTACCGTCAAGTACTACGTACGCTTGGCCGGAATCAGCTTGAGACTTTCTGGAATTGTGAGGTCCTGGTGGCGATGGCTGAGCAACTCGGGTGCGGCTGCAGTTTGATAGCCTTGTGAACATTTCAACACCAATTGGCCTAAGTCGTAGGTGGCGTGGCTACTTTCCGACTTTGAAATGTATGCATAGGGACGTTCATGAACACTCTCAATACCAAGTATGGAGAAGAATGTATGCCTCCCAAAAGTAGCGGTCGACTCGTCCATCTCGTCCACTCCAGGAGAGGCATAGATCTCGTGGGCGGCGTTGCCTACTGCCACGCCTTGCTGGGCCCTTTGGAGGCTTTGAGAAACTGCTCTCCATGTTTTGTTATGGCACAGATGGAGCCGACAATGTGTTGACTTCGCAGATGGAGACCGCTCAGTTGAGTTGAGCAATCATTTGCCACGCAAGACAACTGTTGACATTTTGCTTCATGTGTCGCGAAGGAGCTCTGCAACGTGGAGGAGATTACGGTTAGGGAAAAGGCTTTAGAGGCTGGAGGGAGGGCACCAACATTTGGTACTAGTACACGTGTCCAATCTCCAGGCAAGCTGCAATGACCTTTTTGACACCATCCTCATTTGCCATTGCTACCCCAGCAGTTGGTACTATTTGGTACTACCTCAGCGACCTTTGTTCTCATCAATTGGTACAATTAGTACAATTGTGTACACTTTGTGCCAGTTCTCTTGGACTGACATTCACTTATGCAATCCGTGAGGCCATCCGGTCAATTGCCAACCACATGTCTCCTGAACAGGCGATTCACCTGTTGCTCAATATATACATTTATATATATGTTATATAATGTTATATATATATATATGTATACATGCACACATAATTTATATGATATACAGTTATCATGTGTGCAGCGTGCTCATTTGATTCTATCAACTATCACTGCCTTTTTGTTTTTTTAATGCTCTTCTTTTTGAGTGTTTCACTAGAATGTAAACAGTCATTACACGAATCAGTGCAGCTTATATAGTCTCTTCTAGCTGTCGCTCGACGTGTATGGCTGCAATCTTCTCACAGCTTCCAAGTTCCAGAATTCGCACATGTCACATGGACAAAGCACATCAAAAGGATCCATGCTTCCTTGAGGGATCCCATGGACAACGCACATTCCACAAACATGGCACTTACTTACTATTACTGACACTGCACTATGCTGGATGCCACTCGGGCCTCCAAGATTGGAAGCGATCTTCCTGGACTAAGTCTGGTGCAGTTCGTAGGTACAACATGAAATCAAGGCTTCAAGAGACCTGTGGACAGAAGGCAGCTCATGCTACACGGGGTATCGCATTGCGGCCAATGAACGGCTAATGCAATTTTGCTTTGTTAAGATGCCCAAGTCGCTTGATGCAATTGCAAAAGCTACTAGGTTGGAGGCCATCGCTACTAGGTTTGAGGCCATCGCTACTAGGGTGGAGGCCATCGCTATTTGGGTGGATTCCATCGCTAGTAGGCTCCTATTGCTATTAGGTTCCTTTTTGCTTAGACGTTTCTGCAAGCTGCGTGCCATGCACTGCGGCTTCCGACGTTTCTGCAGCTCTGGTGCCGTAGGCGTGGCTGCAGGCCCTGCAATGGGTAGGGAGATAGATAGTGTAATTTATGTGTATTTACTGTATGGTGCAACCGTTGTTGACTTGGTTTTGCTTCAACTTGACAGGGGAAACGTTTCATTGTGTTCATCTGCAAGTGCCCTCGCAAGCGCTCGTCCATGTTTGCACTGCTTGGACTCGCAGGCGTCCTGGCGCTGCGTTCACGACGTGCCAGCTTTGCATTGCCACCCGAGCCAAAGGCATGCTTTGGAGTGGTGGCTGACGTACAGTGCCTTCGTTGCCTTTGGCAGACCTGAGAGTTTTGTGGTTCGCTTTGGAGTGAGTCTCATGAGCACGTGTGTCCAAGGTATGCTGACGTAGATGATGAAGAGCTCTCAGTTTGCGTGTGTATCAGGGAAGCAGTCTTGGAATAATGGGCACGTGATTCAATTGTTTTTGCACCTTTGCAAGTCTTGCTTATTTCACAGTTACCTTTTGTTGATCAAGGCCTGGAACTTCCGGCGCACTCAAAAGCGTCGCTACCGTGGAGCGCTAGAAGCTCTCAAATTGGCCGTTGAGGTGCGGTTCTTTCAATCAAACGTAGTTTATACAAAGATGCTTGATCCTCAGAACAGATTTTTGATTCTTATGTAATCGGCGTGCATTTACACTTTCGACATTACATTGATAAGTATTGCGAAGCTTTTCTTGCAAAACGATTGAGTGGTCTGAAGGATTGGAAAAAAGGCCCGCCCTTATTGTTCATTGCAGACCTTGGTGCTTCTTGGTTCAGTTGGCTCAGGGAGCACATTTGCACTGCATGATCACTTCATGCGCTTCTAATCTTCGCAATCTTGAGTCCTCTTGGACAAGCATGTTTGGAGCCAAGGACATCATCGACCAGCGCCTTTGGATAGACAGTATCACAGTAGTGAAGAGCAACTCAATGATAGGCGTTACCTTGTACAAGAGTTTTTTAAATCTATTTTTGCAGGTTGTTGATGCCATTCAATATTTTTCTCCATTTCAAAGATATATCCCGCATAGCTTTTTTGAACAATCTTGCAATAACGAGGATCGCCCCAAACTGAGACATGCCTCCAGCCTTAGCTTAAGCAAGGCAGTGCGAAGCAAACAACGATTCGGAAAGAGCTCTGCAATTGGTGGCTTTGTTGCATGACTGTCATGACTGTAGTATCTTAGCAATTCCAGTCAGGACCTTTCAACGATTCCTTGATTGCCATCGGGTCACGAAGGTAAGAGCGAGTGATTTCATCATTCCATCGATGTTTCTGAATACTCGGTGAGGAATTCAGGTAGAACTGAGGTCTTGGACGCTTGGCAGGATGCTCCTGCTCATGTCGTCCATCTTATGGGCAACCACGAGCTGTACAACTTCAATAGGCCAGGTACGGACAGTGCATCAATAATTTGGAACAGAAACGTGATGGAAAATGCACATGGATGATGGCATGTGGCGAAAAGCAAGGACTTTCTCAAATCCCTGCAAAGCTTGAGCGTGCCGAGACATAATTGTACAATACAAGTACTGCACATAGACACAAATTCCCCTGGACCCATTCCAGGATGAGAGGTAAAGGTAGTAGCTCTCCACTGGCACAGCTCATGCCTTTCTGCAGGGAAGAAGCGAAGACGCTCATCCCAAACATTTGCTTCTTGGCTGTCCCCGATTGTTTTGGGATTGAAGTTGGCCTAAAGAGCACAAAGAAAGCGAAAAGAGTCAACAGCACAATTGTACTGCCGCAATTGGTGGAGCGCCAGCAGTCTCTCGTTGAGTGGACTTTGCCCAGTCCCCTGGTACCGGAGACTGCAGCTGGTGCCTGGCTGGCGCTTCCTGATCTTGGAATCATGGCAGCTTATGTAGGCCGTAGGCCCATCACTTTGTGGTCCAGGTTCTGTTAGAAAGGATTACATCTCTGCTTACACATGCCAGGGCAATATCAATCTCATGTTCGATGGTGCTTGATTTGTCCTTTGTCATGATTGCAAGTGACATGTTGAAGAGTATTGATTTCTGGGTCTTTTATTTTCTAGGACGCCTACGATTTGAATGTCATCGAGAAAGGCGGTGGGCCAGCTGTGGAGGAGGCCAGAAATTGTTGCGATCTAACAAGGATCGATGTTGTGGTAAAAATGCGACATGCAGTCTACACTTCGCAATGTCAGGGGATTGCTTACATCAGCGAGCACAACCCGAATGACTTGCGTGCCCCACGTGGTACCATCGACATGTCAGTTGCTTGGATGCCCATGGCTTTCGTTTGGATTCATTCTGAAAGGGTGAAGAGATCTGAAGTGCAAAAAGACCAGCATGGTTGAATCTGAATGTTGTCATGCTGCGAAACCGATGCTCGCTTTTGCTCAAGGCCTTTCATTGGCCTGGACTAACACCTTATGCAGCCTTGAACCTTATGCATGGTCCATACATACTTTCCGAAAGCGCCTACTGAGGATCCATGTCTGATTCAATTTCAGTCTGCACTGAAATCGGTGTCAAATCTGGAGCATTGCTGCAGCACGCCACAAATAAGGCTGCTTCAGCGCTGAACCAATTTGAGGCTGCGGAGGATACAGTGACATCCGTGTGGAGGACCTTCAGTTGCTATGCCGTGCCTTCGTGTATTTGCATCCTGATCTCCTTGCATGTGGTTGCTTTGCTTTACACTGCACTACGAATCTTTCCCAAAACAGACAATGATTTGAAGGAGCCCAAGCAGTCTTCAAGCAGAAACGCACATTTCGACAATGCAAAATTCTTGGGCATGACTTTAGTGTGCTGGTCTCACATTGGTGTGTTCCACATCGGAGATATGTGGAAGAATTTTGAGTCAGGAGACGTGATTTGGTTTCACATGCCACTCTTTGTATTCCTCTCCGGGTCTTTTGTGCGCCCCTTTAGCTGGCAGGGGCTCCTCAAGACCGTAATTACATTGGGGTTTCCCTTGCTGTTCTTCACTCTTGTCATCAACCCTTTGAACCAAGTCCTAGTGGAAAGGTCACTGTTCAGTGGCAACCTTTGGCTGAAGAATGATCCTTACTACGAAGATTCAATGTGGTCCTTGCTCACTGGAAGTGGCCCCAGCTATTTTATTTGGTTCTTACGCAGCCTGATACTGTGGCGCTTGGTCCCTCGGATTCTTGAACAAGGCTGTGTGATGATGTTTTGTTTGAACCTGGTTGGGTTGTCACTTATTTTGACACTTTTTCAATTCTGAACCAAAGTTGGTCGGAATGTCTTGTAGGTCGTAGGTCACGACGTCCAAAAGACCTTCCTGAGAGCCAGTGCAAGGTCACCATGTTTACATGCACTTGGCCCAAAGCTCTTCAGATTGCCCTAGCCGTGGCTAGTGGACTCCTCAGCATCTATTGGCCGCCAGCTTCGCCCAATAGATGGTACCTGGGCTTCTTTGCTTACCAACGAACATTGAGCCTCTTTCCTTTCTACGTCATGGGGCAGCACCTTGACATTCGTGGCTTGCTCGAAGCAATTCCAGCACCAAGAAGCTCCTGCATTCTTTTCGTTTGGTTTACGCTGATGAGCTTGATCTATTTGGAGAATCATCCGCGCCTTTGGCATCGAGTAACCTTCGGCGTCTTTGATATTTTGGAAACGGAACCTGTGCCGTTTTTGAGTTATCCAGACGCTGCCTCTTGTCCATTAGACTACCGTTTCATGTGGGCTCGGTACTTTTCGTGCTTGACATACCGGACGGTGACCATGCTGATCTTCTTATTCTTTGGAGTGCCTCGCAGCACGACATGGTTCACAGAAGCTGGCTCCAAGACGATCTACTCATACCTGCTGCACTTTCCCTTTGTGAAATTGGCTAACTTTGCCCTCTGCTGGTTGGCAAATAGAAACAATATCCATCCTGAGATTTTGCCACGGTTCTTCCAATACTTCGGCTTCATAACATTCTGCTGCCTGCTGAACCTCTACTTTATGCTTGTCGTCTATGGCTTGACAACGCCGCCCGTGCAAAAGCTTTTTGGGCCATTCATTGAGCCGACTTGGCTTCTGAAGATGATGGAGCCTCCATCCCTTCCCAAGAAGGAGGTGGAATGAACCAACTGCATATGTGCATAAAAAAGAAGAGCATCACACGACACAGATTGAAAGGGGTTTGCGGCACTCACGTTTCTACAAACATGAGCAATTTCAATTTCCATTTTCCTTGAAAAAACGATACCAATCCCAAAAACGATACCTAGCCTTGTGACGGTACACATCTTGGAATCTATCTATGCCTATTGACACTGTTGACACTCGAGACAGTGTATGTCCAAGGTTTTTTGTGTATGGTTCGCCGTGCTAGTTGGACATTCCATTTTGTTTTTGCTCATTCTTTTCTTTCTTCGATGGGAAGCAATTATGGGTTTAGACCGATACCAAAAACGATACCAACCGATACCCACTTCATAGGTCTGTATCCCGTCAGAAACCACCTGGCCACTTTCATGCCACTACAACTGCCACTACTTCTAGCACCACCACCACCACTACTACCACTACTACCACTACTACCACTACTACCACTACTACTACTACTACTACTCCTACTCCTACTACTACTACTACTACTACTGCTTCTAGTGCTTCTGCTACGGCTACTGCTACTGCTACTGCTTCACTACTAGTACTACTGCTGCTGCTGCTACTACTACTACTTCATTTACTACTGCTACTACTACTGCTACTACTGCTACTGCTACTGCTACTGCCACTCCTACTACTACTACTACTACTACTACTACTACTACTACTACTTCACGACGACTGCTACTACTACTGCTGCTGCTACTACTACTGCTACTAGTCATCATTTTGCAGATCACCTTCCAGGGCAATTTACATTTAGACGATACCTTCCAAAAATATAATGCATATTGATTGAAAAGCGATACCAATCCCAAAACGATACCTGCCTTAAAACTTCTCACCCAACGACCCCTAGTTGTGCCGGTCGCTCATATGAGCAAGGCACAGATCTGACAGATCTGGACTCAGTTACAACAGTGCTAGTTTATGATTTTGCAGTTGGAATGCCATTGGATCCCATCAGCAAATTCGTAATGTTGCTTCTTCGTATGGGTGCAGAATTCCTTTCCTTCAGCCCAGGCAGGCCTTTCTGGTTTGCAAAAGCGCTTTGTGCCGATGGGGGGTGGCATAAAGCCTGAGCAGCTGCAGTGGCTCCGTGAGGTCGCTGTGATCGATAGCTTTATTGTTACTATAGTAATAAGGCCAGGAGCTAGTAGTAGCGTCCTTGCTCCTAGTAGCGATGCCCTTTGCCCCTAGTAGCGATGCCCTTGTTACTAGTTATATACTAGTAGCTTCTTGTTATTTTTCAAAGCAGCTTTGCAACGTTACGCGTCAACACCTTGTGTTAGATCATGCGTGTCAAGAATCATTTCACTCCCTCTAGTGTCAGAGATGGGGCGTGAGACTTGTTCCAGGAGCTTGAAGATGCAGCAGCGTCAGGTGACAGAGCAGTTGCGCCTTTGTCCGCCTTTGGGGTCCCTGAATTGGGAGAAGGGTGGTGAAAGACAGAGTACTGCACACATCTCACCACCTAGCCCTAAAATTCCGCCATCAGCCAAGGTGATAGGCTGTGACGGCTGAGGTTGTCATTCCCGACTGCGAAGCGACGAATGAGACGTCCAGCTTCACTTGTGGAGGAAGTCTTAAACGAAATTCTCGTTTTGGAGAGTTCTCAGTTAAGACTTTTGCAGGACATCATACCAAATTATATAAATGCTCTTTTTAGTAACTTGACGCGTGACTTTTTAGAGGAAGTATCGTACGAAATGCTCGTTTTGGAGCCTTGATGCGCCACTTTTGGAGGAAGTCTCGCATGAATGATGAATGCTCGTTTTGAGGGCTGCCAGGTCGTTTTTGGAGGAGTCTCAAGAGTCTCCCACAAGAGTCAGAGTGTGTGACAAGAGTGTCCCACACGGTGTCTTGAAGACTGTGAAGCAAGAGTGTCAGCCAACTTTTTGGCCCTTTGTGTTTGCCTACGTGTGTGCATTCGGGTTCGTGGGCTTTTACCTTGTTGTTTTGTCCTTTTTTGAAGAAAACATATACCTGGTCCCCAGGCGGGCTGGCAACTGGTTTGAAGTATCTCAGTGTCTGGTGTCGCCTGTCCCAGGTGTTGACACATTTGCCGGTGAGACCAGAGGCCACCGTGGCACCAGCTCTGCAGCTCGGATCATCCATCGAAACGGTGTCGAACACGGTTTTTGCAATTCTATTTCCATGGGAACGCGCAGGACACACATTGAATCATGGGAACCTCCATGTTTCGTCCTTTCATGCCTTTTGAGTAGCTACTAGTAACACGTGCATCGCTTCTAGTAACAAGTGCCTTACTACTAGGAGCATAGGACGCTAGGGGCTCCTCTTCGGCCCGTCTTCTTGAATTTCAAGTTCTGTGGGCTAACAACAGACATTTACCAGGGTCGCCGCGTGACTGTGGCGACGAACAACTCAAGGCTCTGGAATTACGACGACATCCTCCAAGTTTTTCGGGACTTCGCAGGTGTCGTGCCATTGGTCCTGGCAGGCCAGGTGGGAGGAGATCAAAACACACCATTCCGCAACATGCTCAATAGGCTTCAAAGTTCAAGTCTTTTTCCGCCATCACAATATCACAATGAGTGCATGTGCATAGCGGAATCAGGCCATTATCATGAAGGCGGCTATGCATGGGATCCTGAGAGCCTGACGCATCATGCAACTTGGATCACCTCCAAGCCATTGGAAGCCTGCACTGGCTCGACCCTAGCGGCCCTAGCGGCCCTAACCATTTCTATCTTCAAAAAACATATCTATCCCTTTTGCTTGACATGTAAGGTCACGCTGCCCTCGCCGCTGAATGCGCCGGAAGACAAGCCAACTGCCCATGGATTGGTGGAGCTTTGGGATGACAAGATTGCAGCTTGACCCAATAGTTTTCAACTATTTCCACTATGTCCAAGAACCCCACGTCTTTCTGACGAACAAGAAGAACCTTGGCCTTTTGCAGTTTTCTTGCTTCCTGTGAGGTCATCCGAGGGCATGGCATTGTTCCCAGCCGTGACCTATCCCTGGTTCCACCCTGCAAGCTTTGAGGTCCGTGTCATTTTAGAAGTGGTTTGTTCCATGCAACTTTTGGCAGATCCGTGCCCACGTAAAGTAAAGCTGCTTGAATGAGCTTTCACATTTATAGCCGAGAGTTCCTTTTGTCGGAAGGCATTCTTGGGCATGAACACCAATGTGGACAAAGCTGGCACATCCCACGACATCATGAAGACATGGTTTTCCTCAAGCTTGAGCGGCTTGAGTGGCTTGAACCAGCCGTTTTCCAGGTGAAGGTGGGAAGACCTTGCTCATTTTCCAGCTGCAGAGGTCTTCCATCCTGGAGTGTAGGAAATCATGTGAGGCTGGAGAGAGCTCGGACAGATCCGACCACTGCTGATTCGCGTAAAAAGATGTAAAAAGAATGTGGGAAGGATTTGGAAGAATTTGGGAAGGGTGTGCCTTCTGTGGAAGACATGAGTGAACCTACACTACCTACACATGTACATTCCTGAGCCATTGAATAGGAATTGCATTCGTGCCATGGATCAAGACGTCCAAGAGCTTCCGTGAGTCCCCATCCGCAGGGATGCCTCTCAATCCTTCGTGCTAGTTCTGACACATTAAAAGAATGCCCTTCACTCACAAAGGAACAGACAAAGCATATAAGTTTGTGCATGGACTGGTGGCGAGCCCAATTTGCTTCGCCAGATGTGGTGTGCTTTGCGCAGGTTCTGTTGCACCTTTGTGGTTTGATTGGACGACTGGCCACTCACGACTGGTGCGCCAGCAGCGCAAGCGGTGAGATGGGGTGTGACACGTGAAACAGAATCTGATGGCATTCCGCTGTGTTGCCTGGATCAAACATGGCTCAAATTTGGTGGCAGGTTCACCTCTCGAATTTCGGTGTGCAGCCTTTTCACCGCTGCCTTGCCAAAGGCTCGCTGTCTCACAAAAATTCTCATTGCTTTGGCAGTGACATGCTTCACTAAGAATTGCCCTGGCCGTTTGCAGGTTGGGGAGGCTAAAAAGCAAGAGCTGCTGAAGAAGTACTGCACGCCAGGGTCACAGGCAAAGGCAACTTCCACCATCCCACCAATTTGCAAGGTCAAGTGCAGCAATTCAGCAACAAGTCTGCACAGAGTTGTGATTGCCAAAGACTAAAGTAACAGTCACAGCTTTACATTTTGTTTGATCCACAGACCATGTTCTAAGACAGCTACTGCATGTAGAACAGCCTTGCATGGCAAAACATCATTGCAATTTCCTTGGCAAGCTGCAATAGTGCGGAATCATGCATGCAACAGATGCTGTGTGGACATGCTTGGTGCACATACATGTAGGTTACCATTCATTGCTGCTGACTGGTGCCATACATGAAGTGCCATTCAAGTGGGCCGAGAGAAACTTTTCGCACATTGTACCAGTACACCTTCTGCCCCCGCCCTCACACGGGGGCAGCTTCCTTGAAGAAGCCTGAGCCCTTTTGGGTCCTAGGTAGTAGCTTCTTATACTACTACTTACTACTAGCTACTTATATAAGCGTACTGCCAACTTTAAATCATTGATCTCCGATGTGTATTATAAAGAACTCCGATTCGAGGCTTTGTGGCGATGACACGCCCATGGTGCGACGGCAGGCTCAGCAGCTTTTTTCGCCTTTTTGTCGGTTCTCCAAAGGCACTCCAGCGCTCCAGATTCCTCCATTATGAGATTGATGTATGATGCTCACAGCAGGATCAACTCACATGAGCGCTGACACGAAACCAAACCTTTCTTGTAAATGGGCTCAGTTTGGCCGTTTGGCTTAGCACATGATGTTTTCACATTTTGGAATTGAATATGCAAGTCCATACCCATTGGACATCGAAGTCTTTGAATTGCTTCTCCATGTGTCCTTGTATTTCCTCGCGTGTGATTGAGCCAGTGGAGGAAAGGAACACTCTCAGATTTTCACCGTATCACACAGGACACGTGGACCACGAGTCGTTTCACTGTATCGAACCTTTCTGCGAACGGATGTTACCTAAGCACCAGCTCTTAAACCGAACTGCGCCATGGACTACGCAACAGCTTCAAACGAGGACAGGCTTCAAACAACTGTCGTTGCTGCGGGTGGGCCTGAATTGTCAATTTGGCAATTTGGCCAGTGATTTCTCGAACAATACGGCTAGTGTGCGGGGACCTGAGAAGCTTGCCTATTCCACCTTACAATAATGACACAGCTGTGACAGACGGCTCTTGAACATTCTTGAATGCTTTGTCTACATACATAATACATACCTATCATTATCATCTATAAACTAGACTCTTTTTTCATAACGTTTTACCTGGAAGATGCGTCCAGCGGTCGTCCAGCCACCTTGCTTGGTCAACCCTGTTTGGCATAACAGTTCGCCCTTCCACTGGGTGGCAGCTTGAAATGGAAGGAGAGATGTGCTTTGCCCAGCAGTGCACAGCTGAGAATGCCAGAGGTTGAGAGTGATGCATCTTTTGGATGTTGGATAAGGTGGATAAGAGTCGCACGCAAGCATGGGCAACACTCTAGTTCCGCCTTGTAGAATGTGACAAGCTGACAAGCTTCCTTTTGGATGACTATATTATAGGGTTTGCCAGGAGCGTTTCCTTGAACAGGTGGCATCATATGTAGAACTCTCGAGTTTGATTTGCTCTGGACACGCTGCGGATGAAGCCAGAGAAATTGGACATAGTGTTCGGACCTGGGATTGTCACTGGGTCCACGCTCTCATCAGGCAAGCGAGGAAGTCACTATAGATAGGTTTTCCTTAACTGTAAAGAGTTTTATCAATCTCCAGAAGTTGAAAAGCCGCTGACATGATGACATGCAAACACTTTTTCAATTTGTGCAGTCCTGCTTTCTTAACATCAAGCAGAAGGACTCACAGGCATTTCGTGGACCTCTTGCACTAGTCACGAGTAAGCAGACCTACAGAGTGCTTCTTGCTTTGTGGCCTCACGCCAATGACGGCCTATGGCAGCGGCTTCAGGCACCCTTTGTCAATCCTCATTGAATTTGAATCTTTCTAGGGAGGCTACTTCAGTTCCCTTCTTTGGATGGTTGTTTCTGTGCTTTCTGAGAGCTTGCTTTAGGTTTGCACTCCGTTCATTCTTGCATTCCAACATATTTTCAGGTGCCTTGTGTGCCGCCGGGCGCGTAGTGGCAGGCACAGGTCTGAAACCTTCCGTTTGAAAATGGATTTATGAGGCTTACGCCTGACAGCCGGGCGCCGGCCCACTTGGGTTTGTGTAGGGCTGGGTCCTGTCTCTCTCTCTCTCTCTTCTCTCTCTCTTCTCTCTCTTCTCTCTCTCTCTCTCTCTGTTTTTGAGACTGTGTGGGGCCTATATGGCCACATCTTGAGGCAATCTCGGGCCATGTTTCCCATATCTGGGACCTATGTAGGGCCATCTGGCGACTCTGTGTCCCATATCTGGAACCTATGTTGGGTCATCTTGGGGGCCTCTATCAGGTCATCTTGGAGGATATTTTCCGCCATTGATGTTGGAGCGCGCCCGACACCCACGAAATGTCGATTAGTCCTGTCCGCGCGGCACGCATAACCGACAGCACCCTTGAAAAACATAGCATTTTTGCAATCTGTCGACCGGATTCGACCGGGGGGTCGGGTGGGGGTCGACCGGCGGTCGACCAAGGGTCGGCGGCAGGGGCGGCGAGCGTATATCCGGCCAGGGGCCCGGGAGGCCCCAAGGCCGTGTCCTTGCCGTAGGCCATCTCTCCTCTCCGTAGGAGAGAGGGGAGTGCCGCCCCCGCCGCCGACCTGTCCCATTTTTCGGCTCTTGCGGCGATGGGTCAACATGGCCCAACATAGGCCCAATTAATGCTGGAAATGCGTGCCGCACCGGGGTGCTTCGTCTGCATCGTGGGCGGATGCTGGGCTAACATGGGCCCCACATAGCCCCAACATGGGCGAATTTAGCCCCCAAGATGGGCCAACATGGCCACAAGACAAGATGGGCAACATAGCACCAACATAGCGACAAGATGGGCTAGCATAGCTCCCAAGATAGATGCCCAGATAGCCCCCAAGATACGCCAACATCGACCCAAGCTGGGCCAACAAAGCAACAACAACCACCACCACCACCACAACAACAACAACAACAACAAGCGCAACCACAACCACCACAACCACAACCGCTGCCCCTAGCCCCCGTGCCCTTTTTCCCTGCCCCCTCCCCTTTGCTTGGGCCCCTGGCCGGCTGTCGGGCGTAAGCCCTTAAATCCGGCCAGGGGCCCCCGAGGCCCCAAGGTGGCCTTGCCGTAGGCATTCTCTCCTCTCCGTAGGAGAGAGGGGCTTGCTGCCCTGCCGCCGACCATGCGCCGACCTACTGCGTTTTACAGTGTTTTTGGCTTGTCCTATCTTTCGGCTCTTGCGGCGCAAGATGGGTCAACATGGCCCAACGTAGGCCCAAAAAAGCATCCAAGTTGGGCCAACATAGCCCCAAGATGGGCCAACATAGCCCCAACATGGGCCACATAGCCCCAACATGGGCCAACGTAGCCCCCAAGATGGGCCAACATGGCCCCAAGATGGGCCAAGATAGCGCCAAGATGGGCCTACATAGCCACCAAGATGGGCCAACATAGCCCCAACATAGCGCTGCCAATCCCAGCGACCATATACCCGCAACCCCAGCCAGAACTGCGACAACCGCGACTCGCACTGGAACGCCCGTACCGTTCCCATCGCTAACCAAAACCGCGTGTACGCAGTCCCCCACGCCCACACCTGCGTTCTGACACCGCCATTGCAACCACTACCGCAACCCGTACCGTTCCAACCCCTAGATCAGCTACTGCGTTCGGACCGTTCGGATGACCAAACAACACCACCAACAACAACAACGCGAGCAACAACGACAACTACAACGACAAGAACACTACCACGACTGCAACAAGCACGATCACGACCCCACCCACAACGACTCCAAACATACCCTGCGTGCGACGACCCCCTTTTCCGCGACCACAGCGCAGCTTCTGCCCACCGACCAGTGCCTCACCTGCCCGCGCCGCGCGACCGCCGTCCCGACCGCTGGCCGTTACCAGACCCCCATCCTCCGCCGCGGCGACCCCCCCCGCGTCCCCCCCCCGCCCCCTACCCCCCGTGCCCTTTTTCCCTGCTCCCCCCTTTGCTTGGGCCCCTGGCCGGCTGTCGGGCGTAAGCCCTTAAATAACCTTTGGTTACCAACCGAAGGCCTCCGGCAAGGACACGGGCCTGTGGCCGGCGCCCGGAAATGGGCTAACGCAAGGGTGCCGCTGACCCAATTTTTGTATTGTTCTGCGTAAAGGCGGCCGGAATGGGTGCCAGACAGCAGCTTCAAAACCAATGAAAAAGGCTTGGCAAGTGCATCCACGGCCAGAGGCATGGAAAGCTCCCTCTGCCCCTTGAAAAGACGAATGGCTGGGCTAGGCTAAGCGGGTGCGGGTTCCACCCTGCGGTGTCCCGGGCGCCGCCCAGCTTAGGCTAGGCGAAGCTGGGGGCGGCGAACTTGGGATCAGTGACTTTGCCACAGCTGTGCCCAGCCGTAGGTGGTGGTGCCTTGCAGAAGGAGGGTCAGACTTTACGAGAGGCAGGGAAGCCGGAGCTGGAGGACGGCACATGCTGCAACACCTTAGCTCTGTTTGTTTGAGTCCCTCAGCAGACCTGGTAGGGGGAGCAGAACACTCAAGTCTTGCGGGAGAAGCTCAAAGGACTAGAAAAGGAGCTGGGAGCCTAATTACCAGGCAGCTGACTGACTGCGTGTGTTGTGTCTATATAGGGCAGGCTTGGGTGCACATAATGATCATAAGAACACATGGCTTCAATGTGTTTCAAGAACCCAAACGGACAGTAAAACTTATGTCTCACTAACCAGATCAACGTGTGTTCTGGGTTCCCACCACCTACTTTTGCATCATTGGATACTCTCCACCTGTTTATTCCAGATTCAGGAAGGAACCTGATGCATATGCCCGGGACGCACATACTGTGGATGGAGCGAGTGATCAGGTGGGGTTCCAGTGTGCGTGTAACTTACGAGCGTGCAACTTAAAAGGGTATTGGTTTGAATAGGGTTGACGGTTGACTGGTTTATTATGTTTATTGAACTGTATTAAAGCAGATAGAGAGTACCTAGTTTCAGGAAAGACGCAGTGTTGTATACCGCGAGGCGGTGCGTGTGGATGCAAATGTTTTTTGTATGCCGGTCCCAATATACATGCTGCCGTATTCCCCCCAGCTCTGTTTCACGGTGTTTCACTGATCTAGTCGTTTCACCGCCAATGGAGCTAGTAGCTTAAGTAGCTAACTACTAATATGGACACAGGAGACCCCGCAACGTTTCCGGACAAAAGTGACTAAACACACTAACAACAAGAAAGGAGGAATCCTTTTCAACTTTTCAAAAAAAAAAGGAAGTTGCCTTAACTTGTTGCTTTAGTTCCACGCTCATGATGCTTTCGGCAATTCTGAGGCTCACGGAGGTTCTGCAGCCGAGAATGCGGAGATGCAACGAGGAGGCCACCGGCCGTCGTCAACGCTGCGGAGACCTCCAAGAGGCACCGGGCGTGTGGTGGGACCGGCCCGGGGCAGCTTACCCTACAAAGAGCATGGAACCCATGGAAGACCCAAGCAGTCACATGAGATGTCTCTTAATGTTCCTTATATTCTAGCTCGCTGAAAAGAAATGTTCTAATCCACAAAAGGAAAGGAAGTGAATACCCGAATCAATTTCCACACTCCGGTCTTCATCTTGTATCAGTGTGTGCAGATAAAATTGCGCTTCAAGAAGATGTTGGAAAGGAATTGAATAACTGATTTCTTGGCCTTGGTGAACCAATTGAACTCGGGAGGAGGTGCCTCCAATCATTTGCGTTTTGGTGGTGCACCTTTGTGCTCATTGCACTTGCTCCTTCCAACATGATGAAGCATCTATACTATACATACCTTCTCTCCAAGTTTTCACCAGCATGCGGCATGCGCATCATCCAGATTCTGTCGCAACTTTCAGTTGAGTTGGCATGGGAGGCCATTGAACACTTGGGCGAAGCCCGTGCAAAAGCAGCCGAGGAGGCACTCACTTGGCGCGTGGATTAATCTTGTTTTACTGTGGGAGGTGATTTTGCAGAGCATGGCGAACTGCACCAACACTCACATTAGCCTGAACCTGTACTATTCACAGTCGGCTACCATGTCCAAGCTGCAGATGTTGATACCGCCTTTTGGTACTGGATCGGAAAGAAGCAGCACAACTCGGCTCGGCTCAACATGCCATTGGAGCCAACATGTTCCACAGAATTATGTTAGGTTCAACATGTTTCCCGTTTAAATAGCTTTCATATCGCGAGGCCTCTTCAAGCCAGCTAGCGTCCTTGAAGAAACCTTGCTCCGTTGTGTGCTTGCTACAAGCAGTTTCCTCTCCATACTATGTGCTTGCTCATCTTACTAGCTACTGCCTACCACCTCCGGGCTTCACCGCCAACCCAAAGAACATATAGCAAATAGGAAAAAAAAAAGAAGAAACCGACTGACTGAGTGTCGTTCTTTGGGCTCCATAGAGTGCAACTGTGACTCGCACCGTTGTACAGAGGCACCTTCAACCAATCAATGCCCCAACCATATCAGAGACAGTCTGATACACAAAATGAATACATAATCAAATATAACCGAACAACCTATATATATATATATACCTGACTGCCCTTGCAGCCCGAATTCTCTTGTTTCCACAAGGTCTTCTTTCTTTACTTGTGTCTATTTCGCAGGTGGGTGGCCTCTCAAAGAGGCAGCTCTCCGAGATCCGGCGACTCCTAAGGTGGGTACTTAATGTTTGTGATGCGTTGAGATTTGCACAGCATCCTCCTTTTTTCGTCAGTTTTCGATTTGTTTCCAGGAGTCCGCCAGAACCGGTGAAGCGCACCTTAGCAGCCTGCTGGCTGCTATTGCACTGCCAGCGCTTCAAAGATAAGCCCAGTGCTGTTCGCTTTGATGAGGTGGGATTGGTGGGGTCGTCGCTGGTGATTTCTGACTCGCCATGAAACGACCTTTTTGTGTACCTTTGATGAGTTGACAAACGCTGCTGGTTGGGGCTGATCATGGATTGATCAGTTTTGTTTGTAGCTACATTTGAGATACTGCAAAAGGAAGGAAGGGATGAACGACAGAAAGAAGGAAGGAAGGAAGGACCAAGGAAGGACAACATGTGTAAAGACCTGAAGATCAAGCATGCAAACAAACAAGACACACACACAAACAGAAAATACGACAGAATTTCAGAACATCTCTGATATCTAAACAATTTCCGAAACTTAACCCTGTACTGTACAGCTTCCACCCATGCTGACCGCACGCTTTGCCAGAAGACGGATTGGCCGCGGTGCCAACGAATGTTGGTCGATGAGGCTGGAAACAGCACCTTCCTTCAAGGATTGGGAACAGTCACAACGCTGCTTCATGCAGATTTGTTTCTTTTCTTCCCGCAACTCAAGAAATTGGACGTGAATAACGAATTGTTTAAACATGTTGCAACACTATTACTGTACCTTGTTTGTGCCGAGAGAGATTTAGGTCTATGGTTTCAGCAAACTGCCATTTTGTTTCCACGCACGAAACTCCTTACATCGACTTGTGGCCGAAAAGCTTTCCGCCCTTGGTTTCCGAGCCCTGCGGTGGCCCTGCAGTGGCTCGGCTTGCGAGATCCGATGCTAGGGATTTATTGCCTCGGTCCTGTCCTTTGACTCCAAACAGCTGGATGAGGCAAGGGGCCTCTGGCCTGCTCTTGAGGACACCAAGCCCATATCAGACATCAATTCCACAACACAACAGCACATACAAAAGTAGATGGACAAAATTTTCAAACCAATGAGTCAGGGAGCTGTCACGAACCCCTTACCCCCAAAGTTCAATGTTGAAAGCAGCTTCTTTCAATTTGCTTTAGGGCTTGATTTGTTTCGTCCATTCGCCAACACACTCTAGCAGGCTTGCTAACATTGGGTTTTGAGGTGGAAGGGGTCAAGGTGGTTTGGAGGATTTGACGATTTCATCCATCTACGGTAGGTCATCGTCAGTGCAGAGGTTGCAGAATGGATCTTTGAATATAACTTGAAACTGATCAAACACGATTCGGGCCCTTTAAACTAAAGGTCAATTACCTTGCTTTGTCAAATATACTTTTACAAGATCCAGTTTGTAAATCTCAATTTTCTTGGAAGATCATTGCCAACGCTTGAGACCAGCTCACCAGGTCCCAAGCGTCCCGGCCTGTGTGGCGCAGAGCTTGGGAATTGCTGATGCAGGCCACGACGCAATCGTATTCCTCAGCGCTTTTTTCGCTGCACCATCTTGCGCCTCACCCGTGGCCCGTATTGTGGAAGGCATGGCCAGACGAACAAAATTATTCCTTGAAGTTCTCCTTGACTTGGTTTCCTATATGCGAGGCCATCGCTACTAGGGTGGAGGCCATCGCTACTAGTAACAAACACAATTTGTGCGTATGTGTTTGTTCCCCAATAGCCATGCTATGGGGTCTTGCAAAACTAATAGGCGGACGGGCGCCGTCGGGTCACCGTCAGAGCTGGTGGGCGGATGGTGTCCCGGTCATGTTTTGATGGCGTCCGGGTCATGTGATGCTGGTGTCCCGGTGTCCCGATCATGTTTTGATTGTGACCCAATCATGTTGTGATGGTGTCCCGGTCCTGTTTTGATGGTGTCCCGGTCATGTTTTGATGGTGTCCCGGTCACGGTCATGTTTTGAAGGTGTCCCGGTCATGTTGTGATGGTGTCCCGGTCATGTTGTGATGGTGTCCCGGGCATGTTTTGATGGTGTCCCGGTCGTGTTTTGATGGTGTCCCGGTCATGTTTTGATGGTGTCCCGGTCATGTTGTGATGGTGTCCCGGTCATGTTTTGATGGTGTCCCGGTCATGTTGTGATGGTGTCCCGGTCATGTTTTGATGGTGTCCCGGTCATGTTGTGACGGTGTCCCGGTTATGTTTTGATGGTGTCTCGCTCGTGTTGTGACGGTGTCCCGGTCATGTTTTGATGGTGTCCCGGTCATGTTGTGATGGTGTCCCCGTCATGTCATGCTGGTGTCCCGGTCACCTTGTGACGGTGTCCTGGTTATGTTGTGATGGTGTCCCAATCATGTTGTGACGGTGTCTCGGTCATGTTTTGATGGTGCCCTGGTCATTTTGTGATTGTGTCCCGGTTATGTGATGATGGTGTCCAAGGACGAGATGGTCGATGTGTTGAAAACAGCAGCTGTTTCCAGATTTTTCTTTTTGTCCCGGTTTGTATCTTGCTATTGGGGTCTCCAGCTGGGCTAATTTTTTTGTGTAGTTTTCGAGCTTCCTATTCATCCGAAGGCTTTGATTTTGCCGACCTCGATCAGGTGCTCCAAAGGTGCGCCCTGCACTGCGGCGAAGCGCCACAGTCCTTTGACTTACAGTGAAGGTCACCAAGATTGTTTGGAATAGCCGGAATAGCTTCTATACTCTTTATGTGACGGCAAAATGCAGACATATAGTATATAGCCTACATTATTCGATTTGATAGTGGGATTCTTTATCCACAATCTTGGTGTTCGTCCTTTCCAGACCGAAGCAGTTCGGTTGTTTCACTGGTCCCAGCTGTTTTGACTTTTTTTTGTGGGTTCACTTGAGGTCCCGGTGAAGCCGCAGCCTCCCTTGGACATTGCGGCCGTGCTCCGAGCCTCGGAGCCCTGCGGCCCCTTGTTGCACTGGGTGCAGGAGCACCTCCCGGATCTGTTTTCAGTAGCAAGGGGTAGTTATGCAGTCATACAGAGTTCTACACCATTTGCGGTGTGCAAAATTCATGGCTAATTACCTAAGGCGAGCACAGGAGCGCTCTTGTCAAAAGATTACGTGGGGTTGAGTATGTTTGAGTGCTATTAAAAACCTTCAGAGTGGGGATATGCATGATTATCACGGCAATTGCAGCATTTGCTGGGCAACCGCAGCAGTGGGTTGTGTTCACAGGCGCTGATTGTCGAGCACACCGAGCGGATAAAGCTCCAAGCAGTTCCTTGGGCCGCATGGGTGACTGTATGACTGACAGTTGCACGGTCATACTCGAGAGAAAAAGACGACAAACAGACTCTCAAAGCTGGACCACTCGACCCACGCTGTTGCAAGTGTGTTGCCCAATTTTTAAGATTCCCCAGCTCGGTGCCCCTTTGCCTCCCTCAAATCGCTCCTTTTGGCTCTCCATTTGGCTCTTTTCACGGCTCTCCTATCCTCTTCCCTTTTTCGGCCTTCGCTTCACTTCTCTTCTTTCTCTTCGCAGTGGAGGGTAGGATCGACCTCCTTGCTGCAATACTTGCACTGATGTCTGATCTGATGGTTTTGCGGACATCTATCAGAACTATAGAATTGGCCTTGATTGCTCAATTTGTTTCTTCATTGACATTGCTTCTTTAGGAGTAAAAGGTAAAACCCTGGCTGTATTTTCCTTTGCACATGACATGGTCTGCTCCAAGTCAAGCATATGGGGACATGGACCGGTCAGATATCTGTGCATATTCAAACATGATGTACTCTTGATCACCCGAAGCCTTGTGAGTCACTTTGAAGATGGTCTAGGAACAATATCATATGCTGGTTGGATCCCAAAGATACATGTTGTGCATCATCATCTCTGCAGCTCTAGCAGACCAGGAGTTGACAGAGGCAGTTGCGGCCAGAACAAAGGCAGGGGGCAGGAGGGGTTGCCAAAGTGGCACCAGACAATTTGCCCGCACATAGTCACATTTGCCCAAGCATAAGCACCGATGAAGGAGTCTCCTTCCTTTGACATTTTTTTAAGCATGTCTCGCCACACCAGCTGAAGGCAGAATCAAGCGAAGCGGAGGCTGAAGCAGATCTTGCAGAAGCTGAGGTGGAATCCTTTTAGCTGAATCGATTGTGAAAACTCAGGCATAGCGGCAGACATTGTTGACATCACTGGCCTAGGCATTGCTGGGTCGCTTGCGAGAGGCGCTTGCCAGCCAGGCCTCGGCGACGTGTTTTTGGGCTGTGACCAGGTCCTTGCACAAGAATTGAGACTTGAGGGTCTTGAGGGTTGAATGCTGTGGAGTTTGTTTCGTTGCGGAAAGCCGGGCTGTCACTTTGCCAGCCAGGAAGCTGCACTGGAACAGCTAGCTGCCGAGAAGATGGCGGCTGAGAAGGTCCCTGATCGAAGTGAGTGATGTTTGCCAGATACGCAAGACATCTTTGAAGCAAAAGCTGCATTTGGATAGACCCTTGGCCTTAGCCTTAGGCCGGGCAACCTCGGGTTGGTGTATGGAAGATCATTGTCAGTTCTCGGACTCTCCTGCACCTGGAACTTGCACCATGCATTTACTGTACCGCTTTTGGCCATTTTGGTGCATGAACGCGAAAACCTGGAGATGACCCGCCAACAATCAGAATTCTAGCCAACAAAAAGCAGACTCAAAGCAATAGGTCAACTACTCCAAAGACAGGGTCAGTACTCAGATGCATTCTCTTCAAACATTGGCCGATTTGAGTAGCTTGCATAGTTAGTGGCTGCGGTGATGATGGCAATCTTGCCCGCTGTGGTCGAGCCCATTGACAAAAGGGCTGGCGAATTCCTTGCAAACAAGTTTATTGGACCATCTACTCCATCAACACGTGGCCATGCACCTAATCCGCGAAACATTGAAAGATCTACGAATATAAAGCTGGGTACTGACAGCCTGGAGGTGAGTAGAACTGAAAGAATAGAAGAATTTAAGGTACTTGAAGTACTACTGTTGTTGCTCATTGTCCAGATACGCCAGGAGATGGAACATGCGAAAGACACAGAGAAGGATGAGCCTGCTCAGAAGCTTCTCCAATGCAAGTCATGCCGAGCAAACCTGAAGAAGGAATTGCACAAGGGCCACCTTCACAATCGTTGCCCCTCATGTCAGGCAGCTCAAGAGTGCCAGCGATCGAACGGAAGCAATGCCGTGTTTTGAGTCTATTTGGGCATGTTCTCCGACCAAATCAAGGATCGCCGATCGCAACAAAGCAGCGGCAGCAGCAGAACAAAGAGCCAGACAGTCTCTACTTCCTACCTGTTCGCTGCCAAAGACTACTCACAAGCGGACGAATCCGGAATTGTTGGATGCAATCAAACAGATTCAATATGCCGACTGTCAAAAGGATACCAAGGTCAAGGCTCTCAAGCGCTTGATCAAGATATGCTCTAGTATTGCAAGGGAACCATCTGGCTCCAAATGGCAAAGGCTTCCAGCGAAGAAGATCGAAGAGATGAACCAGTGTGAGGGGTTCCTGGAAGCGCTGGTTGCATGTGGGTGGTCACCAGATGAGTCAGATGAGTCAGGGGACACATGGAGCCTTGCTGTCAAAGATATCCTACGTCAAGGCATGTGTCAAAAGCAGTTCGAAAGCGCACTTCGTTTTCTTTAGCTTGGCAGAGTTCCAACCTGGTCCTAGTAGAGTCTCGTCTTGTGCGTCCCAAGGTGGAATCTGGGGAAAAAAATACGTTGTGGGTGGGGCTTGCGTTGTTGCTTGGTGCATGCGCTAGTTCCGCAACATGGTCTGGGTTTGTCGTTCTTTTGCAAGGGATATTAAAGGGGACATCATTGTTCAGTAGTTAGGTGTGGCTCAGGCCACGACCTAAAGCGTAAAACTCACACCCGCTAGAATTTGCATCGCCTTGCCCAGCCGTAGGCTTTGCGTGATATCCGTAGACTTGACAGTCTGCAGCTCAGTTTTGGGACTTAACCGTCCATTTTGGCAAGAGTGGTGAGAGACGTGAGAGACCAAGACGTTCTTTCCGACATATTGGTGCCCCTGTCGTCCTGTTGTTTCCAAGTGATTGTTATTTTTGTTGACGTAGTTCTGTGGACCAGGCAAGCAAACTTATATACGAGCAATAGCTTCTGTGTGTTTGATTAAGCTACAAGTGTTCTTGTGTCTTAAGAATTGTTGAGTGGAAGTCACTTGTTGAATAAGTCGTGAAGCGACTGTCACGGGACCTCCATCGTGCGCCCTCTAAGGCATCGCTGTCCCCACCAAAGCGCCGAAAGTGTCGGAGTCACCCAAGGCGTTTGAGCCTCAGGGAAGCGAAGCCGAGCCGAAACAAAGCACGATTAGGACGATATTGGGTGGAGGCCATCGCAAGTAGCTTAGAGGCCATCGCTACTCGTAACAAGAAACTACTGGTAACAAGGAACTGAAAAAACAATTTGCTCAGCAAGGCTCAGGGCCAATTGGCCACGTTACTCAGGTCACCAGAGAAGAAGGCAGAGAAGATACCGATTCCCATCGAGTCACTGACCCAGCAAGTGGATGTGGGTTGGCCACACGAATCAAAGTTGAATCCATACGAATAGTAAGGCCAGGAGCTCGTAGTAGCGTCCATTGCTCCTAGTAGTACGGCCAGGAGCCCCTAGTAGCGTCCTTTGACCCGGGTATAGCGTTTCTTGTTCCCATTTTGGTGTGTTTTGTTCCCGTGGTGCTTCCTTTTCCGGGAATGATGTTTTCTGTTCCCGTAAGGTTTGCAGGGTGTTTTTGTTCCTGGCAATTCCGTCAAGGTGTTTTTTGTTCCTGGCATATCTGTGAAGGTGTTTTTTGGTTCCGCCCATCTTGTGTGCTGGTTGGTTGCTGGCGGTTTGTTGGTATGGCCAGCAAGGAAACACAAAAACACCAAAATGGACACAGAAAACCCGCAGCCCTGATCATACACGCCAAAGTCAAGTTCAAATTTTTGTATTCCCTCTTGGTGCTTCAACACTACAGGTTGGAAGTGAGCGGGACGTTGGCAGCTGTAGAACAGAAGCCTGGGGCCAAAGTTTGCATCCAATAAATATTCATAAGCAGCATGCACAGTGGTTTGTTTATGCTCTCACGTTTAGGCTGACACTGCCGTTTTTGACATTCACTTGGTGTGATCAAGCGCGGCTACGACGTTTGACACCTCCAGAGCTATTTATTATCAGAGAAAGCGTCAATGCGAGTGGAACAAACTCAGGACATGACAAGAACACCAATTTCTCCACAACGCCTTGGATGGTGAAACCTCTTCAAGGGATCTACAGTAAGTCTTTGTACAGAGAGTTGAGGTAGCGACTCGTGCGGAGAGGAGGTATCAACCAATGATGTCCACTCAGAGTCTTTTGGTTTCAGGGGTTTTGTGAGTCTGGTTTCCAGAGGTCTTTGTGATCGACCCCAGCCATGGTGCGCGGCCGTGGCTTGCTTTTTCTGCTCTCGGCAGGTCTTTGTTTTGTGGGGATGAAGGACACATTTGCAAATTATGGCGGTCGACAAATCGACAAACTAAGACGCAAATTATGTGTGAGTGGGGATGTGCTGCTGTTGCCTCTTGTTAGAATCATCAAACAGCACACTCCTTGGCGAAAAGGCTGACCTTCTTTGTGATGCAGAGCTTTCAGGAGCCACCTCGTCGAAGCACCTTGGGCGCGCCAAGGCGAGAATCGTGAGAATTGGATAAACCATGTCTCACGGAACACTTCTATTTTGCGTGAAGTGGTGTTTGAGCTTTACCCTATGGGACTATTGAAAAAGAGCAGGATGGGGAATCTTAGCTTGACTCTTGCGTGCAGTGGTAATTGAGCTTTGCGTTCCTCGCATCAGTTTGTCATTCACCACCCAATCAACAAGCTAGTATGGCTCAAACAAACTGCTCAGGTGGCACGGCAAATTGCTGTGAGAGCTTCATGAACTTGCGTTTCACGTCTCAAAAGTTACAGTACTTGACTTGTGACCCTGCAGGAAAGGATGGGCCGACAAAGATTGGAATTGGGGCTCCCCGTTCGGGACAGCCCATGACGAGGCGACTGGCCAAGTGGCCATGATAAACTGAAAAGCTGGCAGCTGCAACAAGTTGCACACAAGTGAATTACTCCAGTATTTTTCACAGTCCGGACGTTCCAGTGACTGGTCATGAAATATGTTGATGATGCCATTGCTTGGACTGTTTTGAATCAGCAAGCAATGCTGCGCTGACGGTACAATGGGTAAACGTCGCAGGAGCCAAACGCCACCGAACAACGCCAGGCTATGGCACTTCGTGAACGCTTGGACACTCGGGAGACGCATGGAGTTACTTATCGCCGCTGAGGAACACACAGAGACACAGACACTCATAGGAGATTCGACAGTGCACGTGCACCTGTACCCTATTAAGATCCTATTAATATATATATATACATACATGGTCTTGGGTTGTAACCAGAAGCTGACTTTTTAATCCTTGATGTACATCGACAATGACAAGGTTTTTGCACATGGGTGTGGACGGTGTGGACTTGTGCATGACTTACTTGACAACTTGGACAAGTTTCAAAGTTCAATTGAGCTGAGTTTCTTGTTGTATGTTTTTGTCCTAGGGGCACTATCCGTAGGTGCAGATTCTCCGTGCAGCCACGTAGGCGAAAGTTCATTTTGTGATCCTTAGGCCATGTCCGCTTGCCCATAGCACTCTCAAGTAGATGTCAAAACCTGCCGTGCATACGCATCAGCACAGGTGCCGCATGGTATCGTCGCTCGTGTTCAAAGCTCTTGATGAGCATAAAGTTATTGCTTGTTGGTCTTCCATTCTGAAGCACATAGCCAATGTAACCAGCCTGCCCATAGTAGAGTGCATGTGAGCTGCTGCGAAAACGTTTCCAATCGCAAGGACTGCATGGCATGGTAGGCAAATTTGAGCAGATTTTCTACAAAACCTCACGTTTGTTGCCTGCCTTAGGCTTTCACTGTGGAACCGTAGGCAAACCGTAGTGCTTTGCGTAAGCCCCCAAGGATGTTAACAACACCACCTCTCTAAAACATATTCGCTCAATTCTCAAAATGATTGTCTGCATGCAGCTAGTTACTAGTTGAAGCAGACTTTCACATTTGCACATTGATGCTCCGTATGCTAAAAGGCAACATGTTGATACTGACAAAGCACCTGGTGGCATTGCAAGAAACCCCACTGTCCCACACACCGCACAGTTTCACAGGCGTAGCTTGGCGTAGCCTGTAGTAAGTGGCCCCGCAGGAGCAGCGTGAAACTTGGCTCAAGCGATTGGAGTCGGGGCAGGCAAGAGAAAATAAGTTGTTGACAAGATTCACAAACTTGCAACATCTTCATGCACGCTGAGGCCTTAAGGAACAAGTGTTGTCGTTGCTTGTCGTTCTTTGTCTCTGAGTTCTGTTTCGCTCTTGGCACAGGTGGATGTGGAGGAGATGAAGTTGGCTCTGGGACTGCGCATTCAACACGCCGCCCGACAGGGTCTTGATGGCGATGGTGCTGGGTGGGCGCTCATGCAGGCTCTACCCCGAGCGGGACAATTCAAGGAACAAGCTTTGCAAAGTGTCGATTGGATGATCGCTCGATGCTGAAATCTTCAGGATATGGCCGCTTGCAAATATGAGGGGTCTGATGGCCAAAAGCTTTTGAAGGAGGAGAGAGCATGTGGCCACGTTGCATAAGCGGTTTTTTTCGAAAATAGGTTTGCATTGATGGGTCACTGAGTCCCACAAACCAAGCTCTCTTCAACAGGACCTGGATCAGTTGACAAAAGTGATCACAGGGCCTCTCGGCTATGCACTCGTGGTTCATATGATCCTTGAGGCGAGCCAAAAAAGAGGGAGTAGTCTTGAGGCAAGCTCAATGTATTGGTTTCAGTCCATGTTTTTGCATGGGCCAAGTGATATGATCTGGCTGCCAAGTCGCCCAGGACCAGTTCCTCCTCGTCTGTGGAATCCAGTGGAGCTTCTGCGCTGATGTCAATGCGCTTCTTGGAAGGTGGCCTTTAGATGCGCAGCTTCTGCCGCTTCCACCTTAAGTGCAGACCCGCTGCGAGAAAAGAAAACCGCGCGAAGTAAGTTGGTTTTTATTTTGATGATGTTTGCTAAACTTTTGATGAAATGCTTATATAATCTGATCTTACACATGCTTTCAGGCTTGACTCGCAGCGATCTCATTGTATCTTGCATGCGCTTCGCGCCGGTCTTTGTATTGAGGCTGGCCCAGTGTGGGGTGCCCTTCAAACGTGCGGATGCACAAGTCTTGGAGGGAGATCCTCAACAGGCCAGACCTTTGTAGAGGTTGCCATTTAAGGCATGTTAATCGACGTATATATTAATCAATATATGTAAACATATTTAGCAACCGGAGAAAGACTTGGACTTGGATGTTGAAAGGAGTGACAGTTTCAGAGCTCTGCCTCAACTGTGGCCCGAAGAGGTCTACGCATTGAACTGTTGAACATAGACTTTGGTAAAACGAAGGCACTAGCATCGACTTCGCTGTGAGGCTCTGATCTTGCCACGAATTGCGGAGATTTTGAAAGATCACCGTGGAAAGCTCAAGTGATCCCGGCATGATTTTCTGAAACATCTCGGCAACACGGATAGGTATTCCTGCAAGTATTCCTAAAACACTTTCGGGGTTACTTGGGGCTTAGAGGTTCCTGCTCCATTCAGCACCCTGTTGGCATGTCTTGTGCCATGTCTTCGCTCTTCAAGGAGTAGAAGTGGACACACTTTGACATTGGTTTTCAGTTAACTCAGTTCCCAGGTCAAAAATGGCGAAGGAACGGCAGGGTGAAAGGTCCGAAAAGTTGAAGGTGTTTGAACAAAGGCTGTTTCTCAAGTCTGCAGAAAGTCGGCGGCGGCGAAAACGAGCGGCGCAGCTGACGGCGGCAAACGAAAACAAGGTGAGCCCGCGGACCCAAAAGCAAAAAGAAGCGCACAACCCAGCAAAAATAAACAAACACAAATTAGCAGGCCAAAGCGAAGCATCAGCCCCCTCCAGGCTTCGTGGCAACTATGATATTTCAAGCATCGCGGTTCTGGTGCAACACAGCTCCACTCACCTCCCAACGGGCTTCCGCGAAGCATGGAGCAGCACTACCCCCACCCATGCTTCGTTC